CTCTCTCTCTCTCTCGCTCGCTCGCTCTCCCCCCACCCCTCTCTGTTTCTCTCTCTCACCCTCTCGCTCCCGCCCTCTCTTCCTTCCTCTCCATCTCTCTCCCTCCCTGTCTCTTTCTCTAACTTTCACACACCCTGCTCTATCTATCACGCTCAGTCCCTCACTCTCACTCGTTCATTTGGGCTCACACGCACGCACGCACGCACGCACGCACGCACGCACGCGATCTATATCTACGTAATTCGCCAACACGCACTATGGTAGATGCTGACGCATGGAGGCGCCAAATAATCACCGGACTGATCAAGCGCGTCAACATTCCCATCAATTGTTATTGGTTTCTGCAATGTGCCAAATTGACGTTGCAGATATAAATTGCGTCGGGCGCAAATAGTTGAAATTGAAATAGTTGAAATAGTATTTACAATCAAATTTTGAGAATTGTTAAAAGACGAAATTGCGAAAACGTTCTGAGATTCAGACCGTAATTTAAAAAAAAGATCGTACATGCCACGAGAAGGGACTTTAGAACAGCGTTATAATTTATCGTAATAGCCCCCCAATTTCACCAGTGTTCCGGGAATATAATCTCAGTTACAAAGCGTACAGGCGATCACACGTTTCGCACCCAATACCACCTGGAAGTGTTGCGGAAAACATTAAACGCACGCTGTAGTGAGAACTCACAAACTAAAGAGGGCTACATCATTATTACTGCACCCGATATATACAGCCTTGCCACCTCCCACTTCCTCGTGGAATACTCGTTTCTAAACCAGAAGTTGAGGGCGAGTTCGGGTCAACTGCTAATGGCATTTTTACAGATCGCGCGATACGATCCCGTCGGCAGACGACGTCGCTGAAACATTTACTGCCCCCGAGACATTGCGCGCATGCGCACGCACGTGGAGACCAATGGAGCGCTGCAACCAAGAAGGCTAATTGTCGAGCTCATAAATATGTCATTACGGCCATAGCGACTCCGCAGCACCTTATAATATATATCACACTTATACACCAAGATCTCGCGCACTTCACCATTCCATTAGCGCGATATACGATTGCGAACAGCCGCGTTCGGGAATAAAACTGCGTTGTTATTCGATGGCGGCTCTCTTCGGCGAAAAAAACATGTGAACGGCGGATAGAGAGAGACAAATGTCTATTACTCGTGCTTGTTACAACGAGCTATTCGCCGCTGGAACAAGTCGGCGTTTGTGTACGAACGTACATCCGATAAAGACGCTCGCAAATTACAGAGTGCATTACCATGCTAGTCGTTATACGCTGGTAACCACGCATGAGACAGAGTTACTCCCTGCCGATCAACACAAGGACGTCCTCATCAGATCAGCCATTGTAACGTAATTTCCTCCCGTTTCCATGGTAACACCAGAAACCGCTCACTATATTCCGACGGGGAAAATAACCTCGTCGAGTTGATGTGTGCAGACGATTTAAAACAAGAGATTAACGTATGCGAGTAAATTTGCACAATAAGAACAAAGACGATTGAAAGCCGCAGAGCTCAGCTGCAGGGTAAACAGGGACGCGAGCAGGAGGATGACTGACCGATAACAGAGGCTAACTCACGTCACGCTCTCCGCTCAAACGCGTGCCACAGCCAGCGCACACGCACGCAGCCACCGTACATGCACGCACGCGCGCGGGCACGCAGGCACTGCATGCACGCAGTAACTGCACGCACGCAGGCACTGCACGCACCCAGGCACTGCACGCACCCAGGCGCTGCACGCACGCAGACGCTGCACGCACGCAGGCACTGCACGCACATGGGCACTGCACGCACGCAGGCACTGCACGCACCCGGCCACTGCACGCGTTCGGAAATTAGCACGCTTGCCCCGTCGGCCACGCAAAATGCACGCCGGAAATCGCCATCACAGCTCGACCAGGAGTAATGCTTCGCAAACACTGCGCTATTAGCGCGCATGCGCCGTCCTGCCCGTAAATTGCGCTCATCACGAGACCACAAATCTCTCTCTATGTGCATAACAATGTGCAAGCGCCTGTGTATGCAC